TCCCCAGGTCCTCTCGCTGCCCCTCGAAGCCTCCGCCCTCGCGAGGGGCGAGTCTTTTGAAGGGTTCGGAGCCTCTCGGCCCAAATCCCTTGGGCCGTGACGCGGTTCTCCTGGGCCCCCTCGAATGTTCCCGCACGACCATCTCGAGCCCAAGGGCATCCCAAGGCGGGCACGCCGGGCCCCAAGAAACCCCGAAGGCGGTCCAAGAGGGCCCCGGGTCGTCCTCCTCCTCCTCCTCCTCCTCCTCCTCCTCCTCCTGTTCCTCCTCCTCCTCGTCCTCCTCTTTCCTCCTCCTCCTCCTCCTCCTCCTCCTCCTCGTCGTCCTCCTCGTCCTCCCTCCTCCTCGTCCTCCTCGTCCTCCTCCTCCTCCTCCTCCTCCTCCTCCTCCTCCTCCTCCTCCTCCTCCCTCCTCCTCCTCCTCCTCTTTCCTCCTCCTGAGCCTGCTCCACATCTGCGCCCGCCCGTGCTCGCGGCCGCCGCCTCGCTCTCCAGCGCCCCGGAGGTGGCGCGCCCTGCCTCCGCCGCCCGGGCGGCCGCTTCCCGCCAGCGCGGGTTGCCCCACAGCACCTCCGGGCCGCGCCTGGCTCTCTCCTGGCTCTGCCTCCTCCCCTCTCATCGTCCTGCCTCCCACTCATCCTCCTCCGCCCTCCTCCTCCTGCCTCCTCCTCCTCCTCCTCCTCCGCCCTCCTCCTCCTCCTCCTCCTCCTCCTTCTCCTGCTCCTCCTCCTTTCTTTTTCCTTATACATAGTTTCTCCCTGCCGCACCCCGAAACCAGGTTTTAGGGCGGGCTAGGCGTTTCGTTTGAGACTTTCTCATCACTTACGACTTTGAAATTTAAAACTGGCAGCATTTTCGCAGATGGAGGGCGGGTCGTTTTCAAAATGTGGCTCTCGCCTTAGCACCACGCACAATCGTTGAGAAATGTAGAAGAGCTTCGCGGATTGAGGGCGAATGGTTTTCAAAATGTGGCTCTCGACTTAGCGCGGCGCACATGCTTGCTAAATTCGCCAGGCGGCGGACCCAACCAGATGCAGTTGTAAGTGCCACAGTTGTGGGCATCGTCGTCGGTGGAACTCCCTATGGGCCACGAAGCGCTGTACTGGGCAGGGGAAACGCATGTGAACTTTGCCAGTGGGACCTTCGGTGGAGCTCCCTATGGGGCCACGAAGCGCTGTATACTGGGTGGGGTGAAACGCAGGGAGCAAAGGCCGTGGTGGCGGACGCATGCGGGCGGTGCCAATGGGACCTTCCGTGGAGATCCCTATGGGGCCACGAAACGCTGTACTGGGTGGGCGAAACGCAGGGAGCAAGGGCTGTGCTGGGTGGTGGCGGACGCATGCGGGCGGTGCCACTGGGACCTTCGGTGGCCCCCATATGGGGCCACGAAACGCTGTGCTGGGTGGGTGAAACGCAGGGAGCAAGGGCTGTGCTTGGCGGTGGCGGGCGCATGCGGGCGGTGCCACTGTGACCTTCGGTGGAGCTCCCTATGGGGCCACGAAGCGCTGTACTGGGTGCGCGAAACGCAAGGAGCAAGGGCTGTGCTGGGTGGTGGCGGACGCATGCGGGCGGTGCCACTGGGACCTTCGGTGGGGCTCCCTATGGGGCCACGAAGCGCTGTACTGTGTGGGTGAAACGCAGGGAACAAGGGCTGTGCTGGGTGGTGGCGGACGCATGCGGGCGGTGCCACTGGGACCTTCGGTGGAGCTGCTCCCTATGGGGCCACGAAACGCTGTATTGGGTGGGTGAAACGCAGGGAGCAAGGGCTGTGCTGGGTGGTGGCGGACGCATGCGGGCGGTGCCACTGGGACCTTCGGTGGAGCTTCCTATGGGGCCACGAAGCGCTGTACTGGGTGGGTGAAACGCAGGAAGCAAAGGCTGTGATGGATGGTGGGGGACGAATGCGGGCGGTGCGCATGTGACCTTCGGTGAAGCCCCCTATGGGGCCACGAAGCGCCGCTGTACTGGGTGGGTGAAACGAAGGGAGCAAAGGCTGTAGTGGGTGGTGGCGGACGCATGCGGGCGGTGCCACTGAGACCTTCCGTGGAGCTCCCTAAGGGGCCACGAAGCGTTGTGCTGGGTGGGTGAATCGCAGGGAGCAAGGGCTGTGCTGGGTGGTGGCGGACGCATGCGGGCGGTGCCACTGAGACCTTCCGTGGAGCTCCCTATGGGGCCGCGAAACGTTGTACTGGGTGGGTGAAACGCAGGAAGCAAGGGCTGTGCTGGGTGGTGGCGGACGCATGCGGGCGGTGCCACTGAGACCTTCCGTGGAGCTCCCTATGGGGCCGCGAAGCGCTGCACTGGGTAAGTGAAAGGCAGGAAACAAGGGCTGTGCTGGGTGGTGGCGGACGCATGCGGGCGGTGCCACTGGGACCTTCGGTGGAGCTCCCTATGGGGCCACGAAGCGCTGTGCTGGGTGGGTGAAACGCATGGAAGAGGAAGGAGGGAGGAGGAGGGGGAAGAGGAGGAGAGGAGGAACGCGGGGACCGTCTCTTCAAAACGAGGACCCAACACCACAGGATGGTTGGGAAAAATTGCAAACGTTTCATGATTGAGGGCGGGTGATTTTCAAAATGTGGCTGGCGCCTCAGCGCCGCGCACATTTTTTGTTGAAGCTTCACGGATTGAGGGCGGGTCGTTATCAAATGGCGCCTTAGTGCCGCGCGCATTCTTTTTAAACATTTGCCAGAGTTTCACAGATTCCCACGATCAACGTACCAGAAACATGTGTCTTAGAAGGATTCAGGATTATGCGGGTGCAACAGTTATATAGGTTCTCTGCGTTGAAGTCCTTGGAATAGCGTTCTGGCATGATTCAGGATTGTCAAGACGAAACAATCACGTTGATCCGTGGCGTTGGAATCCCGACAACAATGTTTTGGCATGCGTCAGGGTCTTCAAACGGGTGCATTCCAACGAAGCAGTTCCATCAATGGAAATGAACCGTTGTAGGGACATATGAAGAGGGAGCTCGGAGGGAGGGTTTACTACAACATCGTTGATAACTCTTGGGTTTACACTGGTCCTCCTCCTCCTCCTCCTCCTCCTCCTCCTCTTCCTCCGGCAGCCGCTGGTTTCGCCCGGGGCTGGTTTCGCCCGGCTGGTTTCGGCCGGTTGGTTTCGCCCGGCGCTGGTTTCGACCAGGCTGGTTTCGCCCGACGCTGGTTTCGCCCGGCTGGTTTCGCCCGGCTGCTTTCGCCCAGCTGCTTTCGCCCAGCTGCTTTCGACCGGCTGCTGGAGGAGGTGCAGGAGGAGGAGGAGGAGGGAGGAGGAGGAGGAGGAGGAGGAGGAGGAGGAGGAGGAGAGAATGACGAGGATGGATGGGGGGGAGGAGGAGGAAGGAGGAGGAGGAGGAGGAGGAGGAGGAGGAGGAGGAGGAGGAGGAGGAGGAGGACGAGGAGGAGGAGGAGGAGGAATACTCCTCCTATCCTCCTCATCCTCCTTCCTCCTCCTGTTCTCCTCCTCCTCCTCTCCTCTCTCTCCTCCTCCTCCTCCTCCTCCTCCTCCTGTCTCCTATCTCCTCCTGTCTCCTGTATCCTCCACCTCCTCCTCCTCCTCCTGCTCCTCCTCCTCCTGCTCCTGCTCCTCCTCCTCGAGGGTCGAGGGGGACGGTCATCGATGCACCGCCGGGCTTGGCGACAAGCCGTTCTGAACCTCTGTGGGTGAGGGCTCGGCTGGGGGACGACGACGGGAGGAGCAGAGAAAGGTGGAGCGACGACGACGACGACGACGACGACGACGACGACGACGACGACGACGACGACGACGACGACGACGACGGTCAACGGACGACGACGGGCGAGCGACGGCGACAACGAGCCACGCCGCCTGTCGCAGCGGCTCCGCGCACCCGGCCTCCTCCCGCAGCGCCCGCAGCGCGGCGGCCAGCGAGCACGACTCGCAGCAGCCGCCCGCGAGAGCCTCCGCGCCGCCAAGGGCGGCCCTCGTCGTCGATGCCCTCGTCGTCGTCGTCGTCGTCGTCGTCGTCGTCGTCGTCGTCGTCGTCGTCGTCGTCGTCGCGTCGTCGTCGTCGTCGTCGTCGTCGTCGTCGTCGTCGTCGTCGTCGTCGTCGTCGTCGTCCTCATCCTCGCCGCCCCCGTGGGGCCTCTGGCGGCACCTCGGCGGCCTCTGGCGTCGTCGCCGTCGGCGTGGCGCCGTCATCGGCCTTGATACAAGGCCCAATCGCTGGAGCTCCCCTCCACAAAACCCCGTTCACCGGTCCCCGTTCGCGGGAGTCCCCGTTCGCCCGAGACCCCGCTCGCCGGGTCACTCTTCGCCAATGCCCCCGTTCGTTTGCTGGTCCCCGTTCGCCACTCCCCTTTTCGCTGGTGTCCAAGTTCGCTGGTGTCCCCGTTCGCCAAACCCCTCTCGCTGGCCCCTTCTCGCCTGTCCCCGTTCGCGGGTCTCCGTTCGCTAATTTTCCGTTCGGCAGCAGTCGGTCCTGCTCGTTTTCCTGCGCGTGCGCGTGCTCTTTCTCCTCTTCCTAGTCCCCTTTCTCGTCCGCGGCCCCTAACGGGTGGGACCGGCGGGCGGGTCCTAACTGACAGGTCGGGCGGACGGACCCTAACGGGCGGGCGGGTCGGGTGAGGCATTCAAGTAGCGTGCAATCCGTCCTGCTGAATTTCCGCGAGGGCGACGGCGACACCGAGGGTGACGACGACCAGGGCGACGACAACGCCGCCAACGACGAGGGCGGCGAAGGCGACAAGGACGCCGACGACGACGTCGCCGACAACGACGACGACGACAACGAGAGCGACAACGATGACGACAACGACGTCGACGACGACACGGGCGACGTAGACGACCGACGACGAGACGACGACGTCGTCGACAACGACGACGAGAGCGACAACGACAACGACGACGAGGGCGACGACGGCGGCAGCCACATAAAGGAAGGGGCGGTCGGGCGCATCCTAACAGGACAGACGGACGGGCGGGTCGGGCAGGCGCACCCCGGACGGTCGCACGAGTCGAGCGGGCGGGCGGGTCGGGCCGGGCGGGACATCAAAGCAGCGTGCAGTCTTTCCTGCGGGACAACGACGAGGGCGACGACGACGACGACGACGACCACGACGATGGCGACGACGACGCCGACAACGACGAGGGCGAGACAGACGAGGAGGACGAGGAGGAGGACGAGTACGAAGACGAGGATGACGACGGGGACGATGACCACGACGACGACGACGACGAAGACGACGACGACGTCCTTCCCCACCTCCACCTCCACCAGTACTTCTGCTCCTCGTCCTCTGCCTCCTTCTTCTCCTCCCTCACTCTCCAGACCTGTCGAATCGGGTCTGGCGAACTGGGTCTGTCGAACCAAGGCGGGCGAACCGGGTCCATGGCGATCCAAATCTGCCGAACCGGTCTTGGCGAAACGGTCCTTGCGAACCGGCCCCCCGTCGAACTGGTCCTCGATCGTCGAACTGGTCCTCTGTCGAACTGGTCCTCCGTCGAACAAATCCTTCGTCGAACGGGTCCCCGTCAAAGCTGTCCTCCGCTGAACCGGTCCTCTGGCCTTGGTGTCGCCCTCGGCGTCGCTGTCATCGGCGTCGTGGGCCGCGTCGTTGGCGACGCCGCCATCGTCGTCGTCGCCGCCTCCACAGGGCCCCTGGCGGCCCCCCGGCAGCCTTCCACGTCGTCGCCGGCGTCGTCGCCAGCGTCCTCGGCGCCGTCCTCGGCGCCTCGGCGCCGTGGTCGTCGCGGCGTGGGCACCGTCGCCGCCGCCGCCGTCGCCGTCGCTGCCTCCATGGGGCCTCCAGCAGCCCCTCGGCGGCCTCTGGCGTTGCCAGCGTCGTCGCCGGCGTCGTCGCCGGCGTCGTCGTCAGCATCGTCCTCGGCGTCCACGGCGTCGTCGTCGGTCGTCGGCGTCGTCGGCGGCGGCGTTGGCGAGCGACGTCGTCGTCGGCTTCGCCAGCGCAGTCGTCGTCGGCGACGTCTTCCTCGGCGGCGTCACGTCCCCGCCCACACTCACCCCTCCCTCGTGGCCCCGGCCCCTCCCACCACCCCTCCTCCCGCCTGCCCACCCTCTCCCGCCCCTTCTTCTGCCACCCCCTCCTCCCGCCTCCCGTCCTTCCCGCTTCCAGGCGCTCGCGGTTCTCAAGGACCATCAGATCATCGCTGGCTGGCTGTGGCGCTGGAAAAAACTCCTCCCAACTCATCAAACCTCCCCCCACCGCCCGCTCCCCTCTCCCGTCTCCCCTCTCCCCCTGCCCTGGCGGCGACGACGACGACGACGACGACGACGACGACGACGACGACGACGACGACGACGACGACGGCAACGCCCTCCCCTCCCCCCTCCCGCTCGTTCCCGTCTTCTCTCCCCCCCTGCCGCCCTATCCCGACGGCGACGGTGACGGCGACGGCGCGAAGCGCCTGGCGGACGGGCGCGGGCGCACTGATGTTGTTCCCATAGTACTTCAGTACCGCATCCCAGAAACAAGTTCGAGCACACAGAAAAGTATCGAGACAGTGTCGAACGAGTATCGCCTCCAAGGGCCCGACACGTGAAAACATTGCAGTGGTGATCAAGGCTAAAGTCGGTTGGAACATCGTTATCCTGGACCCCGGGGCTACTCCCTGGGACCAGCTCTTCATTCGGAGTCGCCTGTGGGCGGCCCCTGTTTGGGTGACCCCAAAAGGGGTCCAGCTGCAAGGGGAGTGGTGCAATAGATTTGGGGCAATTGTATTGCAAACGCATTGCGCCGGAGAGTCGTATTGCATTGCATTGCGACCAATGTATGGCACGCGAAAATCCGGCAATACGCTTGCGCCCCACGCCCCCAAGTGCACTGCCAACCCACCAATGTATGGCACCAGGTCTATTGCACCACCCCCTTGTCGTGTCTAGGGGGCCACATGCGAACCCTACCCCTACCCCACCCTCCCCCTCAGAAATCGTTGGGAGTAGGGGTCGGGTTCGCATGTGGCCCCCGAGTGTCACTGGACCCCCTCTTGGGTCAACCCGACCCAGGGCCCCTGGAGGGCCCCCGTGGGCCCCGACGAAAGCGACAAACCTCCCGGGCCCAGTGCCTCCAGCACCCGTGCGTTCCACGGCGACGCCACACCTTTGGACACCCGAAATGGGTACCGAAAGAATGGATACAATGCCCAACAACAAATCTTGTCCCGAACCAACAGCGGCCGCTGCTGGACAGGCGGCCTTCTGTCTCGAATGGACACAGGCCGCGGCGGCGTGGACAGCGAATCCTGTTCAGAATGAACAGGAACTGCTGTTGGGCATCGTACCCATGAGGAGGAGGAGGAGGAGGAGGAGGAGGAGGAGGAGAGGAGGAGGAGGAGAGAGGAGAAGGAGAAGGAGGAAGGAGGAGGAGGAGGAGGAGGAGGAGCGGAGGAGGAGGGGCGCCGCGCCGCCGGCGACGACGACGGCCGCGACGGCTGCTGCGCCCGCGGCGCCGGCGCCCCGTCGCCGCGCAGCGACAGCTGCCGCTGCGCCTCGAGCAGCTCGGCCCGGAGGCGGCGGCGCCTGGCCTATAGGGGGAGGGAGGAGGAGGAGGAGGAGGAGGAGGAGGAGGAGGAGGGGAGGAGGAGGAGGAGGAGGAGGAGGAGGAGAAGGAGGAGGAGGAGGAGGGAGGAGGAGGAGGAGGAGGAGGAGGAGGAGGAGGAGGAGGAGGGGAGGAGGAGGAGGAGGAGGAGGAGGAGGAGGGAGGAGGAGGAGGAGGAGGAGGAGGAGGAGGAGGAGGAGGAGGAGGTAGGAGGAGGAGGAGGAGGAGGAGGAGGAGGAGGAGGAGGAGGAGGAGGAGGAGGAGGAGGAGGAGGAGGAATCAGGGATCAGGCCGATGCGCATCATCCGATTCGAATGAGGGCTCGATGGCAATGGCGGCAGGGCCGCGGAGGTGGCCTGGAGCAGCGGCCCCAGGCCAGAAACGGAAACGAGCCGCGTGGCCGCAGGAAAGACCGCGCGGCTGGGCTCGGCCCAACCACACCACCTCGCCCACAGCTACCGCGGCTCGCGCCCTGCCAGGACTTCGTCACGGAACCAGCGCTGGCCCGCGCTCGGAGTGCCCTGACAGGGCTGGAGCAGCGATCGGAAGGCAGGGGCCTCGATCAGCGCATGGGCGCCGCAGCGCCGACACACAAGATATCGCCCCGCGGGCTGCACCTGGTGCTCTTGGAACTCAAAAACAGCGGGCGCTCGGGTCCGAGGAGGCAGCGACGACGACGACGTGGTCGAGGACGACTCTTCATGGATCCCGAGCGCCGATAGGGCCAGCAGGACCGCGCTCGAACGCGCTCTGGGCAGGGCGCCACCGAGTCTCTCGGTCCCGACTGCTGCCAAGAATAAGTGCAGGGCCGTCGGCTCGCACCGCGCACCAGGCCTCTCAAGCCGACTGCGCGCCATGCGCGTCCTCGCCGAGAGGTGACACCATGTGCAGCGGACGGACCCGTCTTCGACCTGCTCGAGGTCGTGAGAAAGCAAAACGAGAGGGGTCGCGACGTGTTTCGGCTCCTGGGCGACCCTCGGCTCGACCGTGGATGAACTGGCCACCTGCTGGGCCGCCCTGAAAATGAAATCGCAAGTCCGCTTCGTTTGCTTCAGGCTCTCCTTGAGAGCCTCCACAGAAACATCAGCTAGACAAATCTGGGCTGACCCCAAATTCGCAAAGAAATCAGCCCACGCGTTCCCAAGGAGATCATACACACGAGACACCCCCACCTCCCACTCCGAAGGGCTCAGCGGCCAACACCTCATCCAGATCTCCATGGGCGGGGGTCCATCTGAAACTCGGCCTCTCAGGCCGGCCTTGATAGAGCTTAAACACTTCGCGCCGCACGACCGCGTGCCGACTGGCCCCTCTCTGCAGTCGATCCGACCACTCCGAGCCTTCGCGCACCGCCGACAAGTGGTCGGAGACCCGCCCCCCACGGGGCCACTCTGAGCGCCTCCAGGATGGCCTGCCTTTCGGGCCTCGGGACCGTCTGGGCCCGCCCCGCGAGGCCCCCGTAGCGGGCCCTGATCGGCCAGCCGTGGGCCGAGATTTCAACGGCCGCCCACCCGCAGCGGGTGGCTTCGAGGACCCCGTTGGCACGGCCAGACCCATCGGTAAAAATCAATCGTCCCCAGCTTGAATGCGTGGCTCCCCACGAAAACACTGGCAACGCAGCGGGGACGGGACTCAGCTGAATCGGAATCGAAGGAAGCCCGTGCGCGAGCTCGACCGAGTCGACATCGGGCGGAATACCTTTCGCTGAGTCCCTGGGCCACTGGCGGTGCTCCAACAAATCATCGGGCAGCCTTGGCGGCGCGACATCGGGATCTTCGTCCTCCTGCCTCCAGACACCGTCGCACTCATACCACTGGTGGCCGAAAGTGCCTGGCTTCTGGTTACAAAATTGTCACCTGTCCGAACTAGCGCTGCCATGCAAAAACTTGCGAGCTGGCGGCCAGGGCCCTCCTCCTAGCAGGGCTCTGAGGGCACCACGGCGCACGTGATTTCGCACCGAGAGAACGCCAAGCCGAAGCGCTCGACCCCATATCACCTCAGTCCCCGCGGCCTCAGGGATGGCCGTCAACAGCTGCATCATCTGCACACGGTTCAAACCTTCAAGCAGCAGCCTTCGAATGTCATGCGGTGACACGGCAAGCAAAGAAAAGGCTCCGCCGAGGTCGGACCGAATCAAATGTGGACCCACGAGGTCCCATCGGACACGACGGAGGCTCAGAATCACAGCCCCGATGGGCCCTCGGACCTGGGCCCACGATGGTTTCGCAGACAACGTCTCGTAAGCAAACTGCCAGGCCTTACGCAGATCAGAATCGTTCGCTCTGCGATCCCAAACCCAACAGCAATATCGAAACACTAGCGGCACTGTCGCATCTACTATGGGGTCGTAGCTGACGCCGCTGTGGGTGCTAAGGCAAGCAGTAACGTGGACACGACTTTTAGCACCCATTAGCTCCGCCGCTAGCCTCCTGAGGCCCAGCAATGTGGTGTCTCCAACTCCCGCGTCAGAGGCCCCGTGGCCCCCACTGGGCATGAGCCCAGTGCGCCAGAGGGCGGCCACCTTGGGCCCAGCAGGTTTCTTCGAAACAGAGAGTTTCACACGGCGCTCCTGGAGCTTTCGGCGGCGACCAGCCTCCACACTGCGGGTGACCTTCCTACTGCGCAAATTATGGCCCACATTCCTGAGATGAGCCCTACTGCGGAAACCGAGCCTACGCGCCGAGAGGTTGACCCGTCTCTTGGCGGCGATGGGGTGGGCCAGGAATCCAGACTCATTCGGCTGCAACAGGAGACCTATCGGGGCCAGACGCGCACAAAGGTCTTGGACCGCCGCGAAAACAACATCTGCCCCGTGGACGTCTGGACTCTGCCACTGGAGAGACACGCCGTCCATCAAAACCCTAGCTTTGATGGTCGGAAAGCGGTAAATCGTTTGCCTGACAGGGACCAGCATAACCACCAACCTATTGGCACACGCGTGGCTGCACCCCGCCAGTATCCCTTGAAAAGAAATATACACTTCAGACAGCGAGCCGAACGCATCTATACATCTGGGAGCTACGTATGACTGGATCAACATCCATCCTAGCCTGAGGGGGAACCTAACTCTCCCTCTCTATATATATATGTATAGATCGAAGAGGACAGACAGACGAATCATTTCGTAGCACTTGGCCATATCTAAGAGTACGCTGATCCAGTGCCAGCCTTTGGCCCTGGCTCTCTCGGCGGAAAGGTTCAAATCAAACGCCGACTCGCTCGCACTCCCCCCAAGCCCGCTACCCCAAAACTCCTCCGTCCGATTATCGCGCTCCCAGCGCTCTGAAACTGGCCTACGGACCTTCGACCAGATCCTGATCAAAGTGTCGAGCAAGGCGATCAGTCTGTCCATCGCCTTTTCGGCGGCCTGGTCAGCTTAGAGACGAGCCTTTTCGACGGCCGCGCCCCAACCTTCTCACACTGATGCAGCAATGACGCGAAGGCCCCGAGGGCCTTGTCCGAAAGGTACTGCAGCGACCGAGGATGTATTGACACACATCCAACAGCAGCGCGCTCCGAAAACTGCCCAATGGCAGCTCTCAGCGCTGGCACAGTGATGTCTGGCAGAGACTCAGAATCGCCAGGAAGCCCAGGAGCTCTGCAGCTATGCGTGGCCCAAATCGAGCCCCACTCCGACAGACAGTCACCAGACAGCTCGAAGGGTTGGGCCCTCTCCGTGGCTCCAATGACCTCCTGGACCGCCCTGGTTTTCGAGTAGCGATGGGCCGCTCGAGCCCCGCCTAAAAAAGCAGAACGCACCCAAGACTGCCACTCACCATTCTTTTTTGCCAGAAAGGCGGCCTCGTGGAGCGCCGCCCTGTCCAGGATCCTCTGCACCAGGTCGCCGAAGGACGGGTCGCCCAGCACGTCGGTGCCCGCCTTGAAGAAGCCCGCCGTGATGCCATCGAGGTGCTGGAGGACCCAGCCGTGGGCGCAGATCCTCTGGCTGAACCGCTCGACCTCATAAAGCACTCGCCCCGCTCGATGTAGTCTACGCTCCTGATCCCCATCATCGAGGTCGAGACGTGGCAGATAACTCTGAAGAGCGGCATCGGCACTTCGCAGATGTCTGGCCCACCTGGCCGCCGTACTCCACGCAGCCTGCTCGGAGCTCCTCTGCGGGAGCCGATGTCTGGGCCTGCACTGAAACCTCCGCCACTGCACCTCCAATGGACCGCCATGCTCAGCGTATCGACGAGCCTCGGAACCCACAACATCAGGTCGATCACACAGCTCGACCCTGACACCATGCAGCAAGGTGTCCCAGGACTCACTCAAATCATCTGCGCTCGCGGCCGAAGGAAGCTTCTCATGAAAGTCTGACCAGCATCTTGGGTACCGACCGCACCCAGGAGGAGGAGGAGGAGGAGGAGGAGGAGGAGGAGGAGGAGCTCCGCTGCGAGGTCCCTGCTGCTCACGCTGACCCTCCCCGCGTCCTCGCGAAGGCCTCTGGGCGGAGCGCGCGCTTCGCGCGCTTATAGGCTCCAGTGAGAGGCACTGGCCTCATGCAGGCCCTATGCACACGCCGCATCTCGTGGTCCCATTCGTTCCATTTCTCCTCGCCCTCCTCCAATTCCTCCTCCTCCTCTTCCTCCTCCTCCTCCTCGTCCTCCTCTCCCTCCTCCCCATCCTCATGTTATCCCCACTTTTCCTCATGTTCATCCTCATCGTCGGTTTCGTCCTCCGTTCTTCCCCCTCTCCTTCTCTGACACCTGTTACTCGTGCAAGCAAACGGAATGGGGGGAGCAATGATGGGGAAGCGGGAAAGGATACATTGAGGAGAGGAGGAACAAGAGAGAAGGGATGGAAGAGAGGGAACGAGCAGCTTCTTGACCCTGTGGCTGTCACCCAGGGCCTCCTCCTCATCCTCTCACCTCCTAGGGATATTCTGGAAGGGTCGTGGGGGCGATTTTGGGGCTCTTTGGGGGTATGCTAGGGGCCCTCGTGGGGCGATCGTGGGCCCCGCGGCTTGACACACCGGAGGGT